GCCACCCGCCGCCCCCTGACTCTGGTCTCCTCCCCCTGGCTCTTTGGGGCGCCTCCCGGTTTAGCCCCCCAGTGTCCAGGCAACTGAAGCCTGCATGCCGCCAAGGAGCAGCATTTCCGGAGCAGGGCGAGGGCATCCTTAAAACAGCCTTCCCTACCAGCCTGTACCCTGGAGTTTGTGGTTGCTCCCTGTGGATTTGGGCAACATTTGCTGGAGCCTGCCGCCGACCCTGCATGTTCCGGGGCTTTGGCGGCGATCCACCCAGGGCCCCGGCTTGCTCAGAGGCTTGAGTAGAAAAGTCTCCTTTCCCCGCGACAGGACAGCAGCAGGTTCCCTCCGGCAAGCACAGCAGGAAGACCTGGCGGCCTTCTGACCACTCCATTTGTCTTCACGTTGGCCTTGCCGCTAATTAGCATCGTGACCTCAAGCAGCTCTCGTGGCTTTTTCAGTCCTCCATGTTTTGTTCTGTAAAATAAGCCACTTCTCTCTGTTCACCTCATAGCATTCCATTTAATCCAGACCAGTAGTCTTATTGAAGGGCTGTTGCGTGCCAGGCCTCTGCCAGTGCTGGGATGGACTGCTGAGTGCGATGGAAGCATACAGCAGAAAGATTGAATCCTACCCCCACAGACACATGCTCTGGCCCCCACAGGAAGCCCGACACACACACTCACCCTACACACTTAGGAAGCGATGATTGGGTCCTGATGGGTAAGTCCCAGTTAGCTAGCTGGACGATGGGGTGCTAGAGCAGAAAAAACATTTTGATAGGGTCTTGAAGGTTAGGGTCAGTGTAGAACATTCGTGAACGGTACAAACCCAGCACCTCTGGAACTGACAGGTGTGGCAGAAAGGCCAGAGATACAAGCAGGGGTGAAGACATGGTCTTACATAAACCATGGTAAGGACAGTGGCATTCCCACTAAAGGCAACAGGAAAAATACAACAACATGATACTTGACTGAGAGACTGAAGTCAATTCTGCTAAGACTGAGAAGAAAACAAGAATGTCCTCTCTCACCACTTTTCAACGTTGTACTGGGGGTGCTAGGCAATGCAATTGGAACCGAGAAATAAATACCAAAAAGGACAAAGGACAATGACCTTTATTAGCAACATAATTGTGTCCATTGAAAATTCAAAGAAACCTCTCCCCACCCAAAAAACACACACAAAAAACAATGAGAGCTAATAAGCGAATTTAACAAGATCACAGTATTGTCTGGTGATGGTTCTTTCTGGGCCTCTCATATTATTGCTTGTCTTGCAGGCAGGGGCCCTGACTGCCTTTGTTCTAGGCTATGTTTTCCAAAGATATTATACATATAATTTATATATATAAAAACCTAAGTGACTATTGCAACCGAACGGATGACCGAACAGGCTGCGAGGGCAACCAGGCTGGCAGGGAAGGCAGTTGGGGGTGGCCAGGCCAACAGTGGGGACAGTTAGGGGTGATTAGGCAGGCAGGTGAACAGTTAGGAGCCAGTGGTCCCGGATTGTGAGAGGGATGCCCAACTGCCGGTTTAAGCCCAGATTGGAAAGGATGCAAGCTAAGCTGAGGGGACACCCCCCCCCCCAGCACAAATTTTGTGCACCAGGCCTCTAGTATGTATATACTTGTAGATGTGAATACGTGTATAGCAAACTACCTTTGAGGTTTGTATATTAGCTGCCATTTCAAAGATCCCAAGAGCATCTCTGGTTTCCTTGTTCCTTCTTTTCTGATTCCATGAGCTCCCTCATTCATCCAATGAATTCCTTTCTGTTTCTATTAGCCATCGTTGATTTCTAAAAAACCATGTGTAGAGAAAAAAACAACTGGAAGAATCATGATTTTTTTTTCTTATGCTTTTTGATTAAAAAACAACACAAAATCAGAAGATTGTCATCAAGGAACAATAACCACCAAACCTGGACCCAAACGAGAGGATGGTCACAAACTCAAGGGACTGACCAAAGCCATCTATTAGCGCTGAAAGCTCTTTGTCTATAAAATGAGGGTAGTCACTGCTCTGTCTACTTCACAGAACCAGTGCTCTGACTGAAGCCCAAGCGAGCAAGGGCTTTGCAGAAACACTCATGGGTGGTGTTATTTGAACAGCCAAAGAGGCTAGAGAGAAAAATGGAAGACCCCAGCCTTGGCACCAGAGATTCATTTTAAAAGCTTTTGAAAAGGCAAGAAGGGTAAGAGCTTGTATTTAAGCAGGAACATCTGCAATTATATTACCACCCTGCCATTTGGCAACTCGCGTGGAAGGTGGCTGTGATCTCGTTAGGGTTCTCTGGAACACTGCATCCAACCCTAGAAAACCTCCTTCAATGAGGGATCTTTTTATCCCTTGCTTCCTTGCCTGCCCCAGACTCTATTCTTCATGTATAACCTGCCTTGGAATTTAAAAATAAAAAGGACAAAAAATTTAATAGTTCCCAAAGGTGATTATGAAGAGTGAGAAAGAAATAAAACAGGCCTGGAACTTAAGAGAATATGAACTTTATTAGGTTTCAAATACAAAAATAAACCCATCTAAATAGGGAGGCAGGGACAGACATTGAGCGAGTCAACATCGTCTTCAATTACGACATGCCTTGGGAATTGGACACCTACATCCACCGGGTGGCCCGTTCCGGTCGCTTTGGCACCAAAGGCCTGACTATCACTTTTGTGTCTCATTAGAATGATGCCCAAATCCTCGATGATGTTCAGGGTAGGTTTGAAGTCAATGTGGCGGAGCTTCCTGAAGAAAGGGACATCTCCACATACATTGAGCAGAGCCGGTAACCACACACCTGACATCCCGGAGCCACCCTGCTTCCCACGTGCTGCTTCAAGTCCTCTTTCTACGTGACAGTGAGGCTTTTTCTGTTCAAACACTGTACATTTGTGCAACAATAAATTTGTATTATGGAAAAATAAATAAATGAATAAAATAGGGAGGCAGAAAGCTCCCTTTGTTTCTCTAGGATTTCCAACCCCAACCCCATAAAAACATTTTGCTCTCACACAATGGCTAGCAAAGAGTAAAAAGAATCAAGTTCTCAAAAATGAGAGGTATCCATGTTTATGAAGGAGGATGAGCTGGAGCGCCTGGTGGACAGGGAGGACACTCTTCCACCAGTGCATCCTCCAGTTGTTTCTCTATCCATTTCTGCTTCTTATCGGTTAGCGCCTCAGAGAACCGCTGCATGGCTTTAGGGTCCAAATGGAGATAGAAATAGAATTAGTGTGTTTTCAGGTGGGCCCCGGAAATCCCCAGGTCATGGTAGACCATCACGGAGCCACTCTTCAGGGATGTGGAACTTCAGCCTACCCTTCTTTGGGATGCATTTCTAAGTCTACCCACGACATCCCTGATAGCTCATTTTTAGCTTCAATGACACAGCATGTGCTGCAAGACACTTTGTCTCATATCAAATCCTATAACTTGGCGATAGACTTGGACTCATCAACGTTTCTATTGCCTCTAGTGTCCCTTCAAACAGGCTATTCTCCTCAGTGGCTCAAAATTTTATAACATAAATGCTCTTTCTGCACTGCTTGATTCCCAGCAGGTAGAACAGTGTCCAGCATGTGGTGAGATGCAACCGATCATTGTTCTGTTCTCATAACCTTCAGAGGAGAATCTGACTCCATAGAATAACATCCAGGGACATCCACGATCATCTGCCTGTCTATCTCACCTACTAACTCAAGCCCCACAGGGCAGAGGACCACTTCTGATTAGTGCCCTGCTCAATGGCAGGTCAATCAACGTTTCTATTGCCTCTAGTGTCCCTTCAAACAGGCTATTCTCCTCAGTGGCTCAAAATTTTATAACATAAATGCTCTTTCTGCACTGCTTGATTCCCAGCAGGTAGAACAGTGTCCAGCATGTGGTGAGATGCAACCGATCATTGTTCTGTTCTCATAACCTTCAGAGGAGAATCTGACTCCATAGAATAACATCCAGGGACATCCACGATCATCTGCCTGTCTATCTCACCTACTAACTCAAGCCCCACAGGGCAGAGGACCACTTCTGATTAGTGCCCTGCTCAATGGCAGGTCATGTAATCCCTGTTTGCAAAGGAACTTAATCAAAATATGAAAGTGCAAACCGTCTATGATATAGATGAGCTGTAGCTATAGCTACTCAAGGCCAATAAGGAGGACTCAGCTATTGGACTACAGGAGTGGAAGACACCAGGAGTGGAATGTCAGCACCACTCACCGACTTTCAGGCGGAGGGGCTTATCCGTAAAGGTGAGGCGGAACCAGCCAGGCTCCTTACACATGTAGGCCTTGCCAGGGGCCAATAGGAGCTTGTTGTCCAGGAAGCAGCGATAAAGGAGCTGCTCTTCCTCAAATGTGCATGGGTCCAGGTACTAGGGAAGGCAGAGGGACAGAGTTGAGCCCAAGACCTATCAGGCAGGTCTGCCCAAGGACACCTGTCCTCACTGCCAAGCTCACCTCTTTCAAGTTGACCCAGATATAGAGGCCAGAGCCACGACTGAGAAAAGGGACCTTCAATGTCTTCAACTTGTTGGTGATGTATCTGTGAGCTTCCTGCATCCGGGAGCGATTAGTGGGCAGGTACACGTTGTCAATCCATTCTGGATGGCGATAGGGGAGAATGCTGTCACAGGCCTTGTGACACAGAACTGCCAAGAAGTCTTTGCCACATGCTCCCTACCTGGACTTCCTGGCAGCTATTTCTGTCCAAGGTTGACTCTACTATATGTGAGCTGATGGAATCCATATTCAAAACTCACCTCCTACCTACCTACAGCTGTGGAGGAGACACTGGGCTTCTCAGTAAACCTGTAGGAGTGTTCTGTTTGAGTTTACAGCTCTGACAGTAAGAGTCAGGGTATCCCCCTGTAATGGGTTGATGCTGCTGTTGTCCAATGAGCAGGAAGCAGGAACTCACAGCTCCCCATACCTCCTGCCTTACAGCCTCACACAGTGGACTTTGATGTATTTGGCGATGATCTTAGCCCAGTTGTTCTCAGCATTGGCAGCACATAGAACCACCAGGGGAGCTTGTGAAAATCCTCGTGGCCAGGTTATATCCCCAGATCACCTAAGTCAGAACTTTGGGGTGGAGCCCACACATTGGCATTTAAGCTCCCACGTAATTCCCAAATTGATAGCCGTGTTCACGGGGCTGGGAAACTGATTTCTGCCAAATATCAAAGGGCCTGGCACCATGCAGGGAAACAGGTAATTGGATTTCTCCTTTTACTCACCCAAAGATGAAAGTTAAGTTGTTTTCTCAACCAGATTATTTGGTTACTTTCATTTATTTAATTACTAGAGGCCTGGTGCATGAAATCCATGCATGGAGGGGGTGTCCCTCAGCCCGGCCTGCACCCTCTCGCAATCCGGGACTGCCGGCTCCTAACTGCTTGCCTGCCTGCCTTCCTGACCACCCCTAACCTCTCTGCCTACCTGCCTGACCACCCCTAACCCCTCTGCTTGCCTGCCTTATCACCCCTAACCCCTCTGCTTGCCTGTTTCATCGCCCATAATGCTCACCTGCCTGCCTCATCACCCCTAACCACTCGCCTGCCTGCCTGGTGGCCCCTAACCAGTTACCTGCCTGCCTGATTCCTCTAACTGCCTCTGTCTTGGGCCCCACCACTGTGGCATCATCCGGAAGGACATCCAGAAGGTCTTTCAGCTGTCTGGTCTAATTAGCATATTATGCTTTTATTATTACAGATATCCCAGCTTATTATAGATATCCCAGCTTTTAAGTTAAATCTGCTAGACTGGCATCTGTTCTACTACAGGGAATTAAAGAAAGGGGCCCTTCTCTATGTTCGGGCCATGGCACTAAAGGGGGAAGTTCTCCCTGACGCCAGCATTCACCTCAGATCCAAGGGGCAGAAGAACCCAGGGGCCATAGATGTAGCCACAGCAACTTGCCCAAATGGCAGCACTTCCTTGGCCACCTTGGCAGGTGAAGTTAGGTCAGACTTGAGGAGTCAGGGCACTTATTTCTTTGTAATCTTTGCCTGAGCAAGCAGAATATTGGAAAGGGGAAAGAGACCTTGACATAAGAACGGATTTCTGAAGTTCCCCCTGAAGTCTGCATATGATTGTTCAGGCAGAGCACGAGCTGCTGGCCAGCCAGAAATTAAAGCCCATCCTGGCTTTTAGACCAGCGCCTCCTGCTTCTGTCTACACCCTAGTGCCCCCTCTGAACTGCATCCTGCCTCCCTTCAAACTTCCTGTCCTCCACCATGACACCTGAGACAGCAAACAAGATATCAGGGGACTGAAGGCATGTCAGAGGCCCAAGCAGACCCAGGAATCCCCCGTGGCCGAGCACCGAGGAAGTCTGCATATGATTGTTCAGGCAGAGCACGAGCTGCTGGCCAGCCAGAAATTAAAGCCCATCCTGGCTTTTAGACCAGCGCCTCCTGCTTCTGTCTACACCCTAGTGCCCCCTCTGAACTGCATCCTGCCTCCCTTCAAACTTCCTGTCCTCCACCATGACACCTGAGACAGCAAACAAGATATCAGGGGACTGAAGGCATGTCAGAGGCCCAAGCAGACCCAGGAATCCCCCGTGGCCCTGAGCACCGAGATGCCTGGATGGAGCTCAGTACCTCTGTCCTGGAGCAGCCGACACAGCTTGTGCTGGGTGATGCCAGAGATGCCGTGGAGGAAGCCAAAAGCGCCAATAGCAGAGACCACCTCCTTGTTGTGGGTGTACAGAGTGCCAAAACGGAAGCCAGAGATGCCAAAACTCTAGAGGAAGAGAGTAAGGGAGGGAATACCTTATTTTCTTGGCTCCCATTCCTTCCCAACCCAAGGATAGGCTGTTGGGACTCACCTTACTGGTGCCCCAGATCACATGGGTCCTGTTGGGGTCAGGCAAACTGGAGAGAAGACAGTACAATCAAGGTTATAGAGAAATGTTTGAGTGCTGAAGTCTTAAGGTCTGTGTGTGGGAATTGGGAACTGGCTTGAGGTCCACTACCCAGACCTTTTGTAGAGGTTTATCTTTATTTTGGACAGTGGTCTTTCTACCTTGCCCTCAAGTATCTCATATCCAACATGGTATTTAGATCAAATGTACTTAGGAGGAAAGATCATACTTTGTTTATTTCCACGTTTAACTCAATCCCTGAAACTTAGCCAGGTAAATTTATGACACATGAAATCACTGTGCAAAAGCAGGAAGCTAATGTTTTTATTCCCGCTACAGCTGAGACCAGCTCACCTTCTCATGTTCAGAACACTGTGGAATGGGATGGACGCACGAAACTCAGACAGCATGGAAGTCTCATCAATAATCACATGTAGGTTGTGCCTGCAAGTTGTCTTAGGAGTGGGACATAAAGTTCTGTGGGGATATGTCTTTATCTTCACTCCACATTGTCCAACAGCCTCTCTTCCCTGGCACCTCAGGTCAAGTAGTTTGGGAAGTAGATGCTGGAAAAGCGCTCACGCTACAGGAAGTGGCTGAGTAACAAAACTATAGTATGATTGTTACGTAGTTGTCTGCACATGGAAAATACTAGAAAGAAATTGGGGGGAAAAAGATTGGTGGAAGCTGTAAGCATGTGGCTACATTTTCCTTCGTTCCCATTTCAGTTAGTTGTACACCACTTTGCAGAGTATAATAAGCAGTCAGCATAGATAGGGGAAATTATTTCTGGTTCTGACTTCTTGTCCATGACCGATGGCAATTTGTTCAATTTCAAGGGTTAAACCCCTACCTCTTGGCAAATTCCAGGTATTCCTTCAGTGAGGCCAAACTGTCGATGTCCCCCATAAAATTATTGGGGTTGAAGAGAACAAGACCTCTGCACATGGAAAATACTAGAAAGAAATTGGGGGGGAAAAGATTGGTGGAAGCTGTAAGCATGTGGTTGCATTTTCCTTCGTTCCCATTTCAGTTAGCTGTACACCACTTTGCAGAGTATAATGAGCAGTCAGCATAGATAGGGGAAATTATTTCTGTTCTGACTTCTTGTCCATGACCGATGGCAATTTGTTCAATTTCAAGGGTTAAACCCCTACCTCTTGGCAAATTCCAGGTATTCCTTCAGTGAGGCCAAACTGTCGATGTCCCCCATAAAATTATTGGGGTTGAAGAGAACAAGACCTCTGACCTTTTTCCCCTGAAAGAACCAAACATAACCCAATGAACTCAAATACTTCACATTCAGCCAATGTCAGTCAGAACACCCAATATAGGTCACATAACCAAGGTCTACATAGAACCCTGAAGCAACTACCATACTGCCCCCAGGGCAGAGATGGAAATAGCACTGGGGACTGCCACTGAGAAGGCTCAGGGCTCCCAGAGGGACATGCCCCTGGGACACTGCCTCTTCTGAAGAAGGAGCCCACACAGTCTTGCTCAGAAAGTTGTAGCAGAGGCTCAGCATTGAACCCCCTTCAGGGGCAGCAGTGCCCACCCTGACCCATAGTCCTCTCCTTACCTTAAACTTAGCCTCCAGCAGGGCTTTCTCCAACTTGTCCACGATCAGCTGGAATGGCTGGGTGTCCGCCTCAGTGATCTGGAACACAAACCCTGCCTGAGGAGCGCCCATATCTGACTGCTTCTAAGCTTTGATCCCTCATTCCCATAAACCGTGAACAATCCTTGGCCTTCATACCCAGGGTACCCGTCCTACATGCCCTCTAGTGCCGATTTGTCCATCATCACTTATATGGCAGGAAAGCTAGCCCCACCCATAAACCTTGGAATGCCCCCAGAACATTTCATTGCCGAGGTGGGCTGAGCAGGAAAAGGGCCCCATTCTGACCTTCCTCAGCAGGTGGACATGAATCAGCTCAACTTTTGAATACAGGCGGGCAGTTAATGTGAAGCCAGAATAGAAGGGGGTGGGGATCAGAAAGGCATCTGGAACCACAGGGAGACAAGGCTGTCAGTCCAGGGTCTCTCGGTCAGAACCACCACACCCACCTGACCCCCAGACCAGCAGCAACTCTACTGACAGGGTAGGTTACTTGGGCAATCCCTGCTACTTGGGGAAATGCTTTGGGGCTCAGGCTCTGTAAAAGGTAGCCATTCTTATAAACAATATTTGGGGAAACAAAACTCAAGTGTCCTTGCCTTGGGGCTACACTATAGAAGGAGACAAAGGAAGAACAGTGCTCTGAATGGCTCAGAAACCAAGGTTCAAATCAAGCCTGCCTTGCTAGCATGGTGAGCACGGAACATTTACAACTTCTGGTCAGTTCCAGGGCAAACACCCGAGGCTGAGGCCCCTGCACAAGGAGGGCTCTTTCTCTCCACATGACTCACGTTATCTACATCTGATGGTCTCAAGTATGCTTCTCCTCCCATCATGTGGCCTTATGGGTGAACTAACCGAGGACCTACTGATTTGAATGAAACTGGCCACCTTGGTAACTACCTTCCGAGCAGCCAACGCTCATTAAAGTCCGAGACTCTTGCTCAGACATTGTTAAGAGGGACACTGAGAACAGGTCTTTCAGTCTTATTTGATCTAGAACTCAATAGACATCGTTTTTGAGGAGGAGAAGGTGATAGAAATTCTATATAGTTTAAGCCAGTTTACCAGGGCTCTCTGTATTGGAATTGAGCCCCAAATCCCAGCTAATATAATGGGTTGGTTCTCACCATCACCATTCCCGAGGGCATATCTCCTCGAGGACCCTCCCTTCATTTCCTTCCTCATTAAGTGGGGATGTGAATCCCTCACTCCTATAGAAACAGCAGGAAAATATAACCAGTGTAGGAGAGTCCCAGCATTTTAGGGCAAGGGCCTTGAGTCAAGATGCTCTTCTTCTTCGAGACCCAGTGCCTGTGTGCTGCTATTTCCCTGAGGGAAAGCAGAGCCCATCAACTTACCACCTGCATCACACAGCACCATGGTCAGGGTCAAGAAGACAGAGAGGGAGCTATTGAGAGCAACCACCTGCAGCAGATGCACAGAAGGTAGAAGTAAAAACCCAATCTCCATGAATGATGGGTTAGTCCCTCTGTCTCCCACCTGCTCAGTAGGGACAGGGACCAGGAACCTCCAAAGTTGGAATCCATTAGCTTTTATTCCATCTTGGCCCTGAAGGGCCTCTGCTGGTTCTCCCTGTACCCTTTAGAAAAGGCGGCCCCTTAAGAATACATCTCTCCACTAGGAGATAAGTGAGGCTGGGAAATGACTCACATTTTCTGGATCAAGCAGGTCAGGTGCCTTGCAGTAGTAGGTCAGGAACCGGGCTACTTCTTCCCTCAGGCTGTAGACAGACCCAGAGAGATCTTGTGGTTTCAGGCCCAGGAGCCCTTTCATATTCAGTATCTAGACTTTAGTCTTTTCCAAAGAGCAAGGCGTCTGGCCTCATGTTACAGGGTT